TTAATGCCTCTAAAATCTCCAAAAGCTCAAAGAATTAAAAATTTCAAATAAGCATCAATAAAGGCCAATAAAATCAGCCTTGTTGAACAAGCTATTAGTGTAACAAATTCAGATTTATATATTATAATATATTTGAAATTCCAAACGTTTCGATTCTCATAAAATCATCCTCAGTAGACAATAGCAACTTACAATCATTCAATATTATAAACTTCTTTACATCAATCTTGTCTTCACAGAATTAAAAAGTTAATGTAACAGTATATTATTTGAAAATTCCAATAGAAGAATAGTAGTCATAGATGCAAACAGAATATTGTGTTAACATTTAGACTTGAATAACATGATCAACAAATGGAAGTTAACTGATTGAAATAATATATTTTTTTTTATTTAGTTATCGCCATTAATTTGCTATAACACAAACAAGTTTTCTAGAAAATGAGTTTGAATATTTTAAATCATTACAGATATCAGTTTCGTAATATTAATTTTCCTTTTTTTTTGTATTTTTATTCTTTTTTTGTTAAAAAAATAATACTTATTGAGTTGTGTCGTTGAAGCAAATAAACGATACGTATTCGTTTGGTTCATATCATTTGTTTCATATATTCAATGAAACACGCATTAATATGTATATAGTGCCATATAATATGTATATAGTGCGAGAGAAATGTAATTACTAAAATATTGATTTCTCTATTACCAAGTGTGATATAAAAAAATACACTTTTGTAAATTGCAGCAAAGAATATTCTTTTATAACTTGCATTTTGTTAAAAAGAGATAAAATTGCTTATAAAATCTACTTATTAAAATTTTATGTGTTTGAAATTTTGCAAAATATAAAATTATAATTATAATTAATAGTTGTTTCAATTACTTAGTTCTTATATTGTTGCCTGAGTTGAAGTAATTATCCTAGCCCCAGGTAGCGTTCAATATAAATTCGCAATTCTCTATGCGCGAATTTATCATCGGGATAATTAATTCTCTCATGTCGCAGAGATTATGAACGAGGTGATCAAGCAAAAGAAGAAGTCAACAGGTGGGGTAGAATGGCGAATCTTGGTAGTGGATCAACTTGCAATGAGAATGGTGTCCGCTTGCTGCAAGATGCACGATATCAGCGCTCAGGGTATCACCCTGGTGGAGGATATCAATAAGAAGCGCGAACCTCTGCCAACGATGGAAGCCATTTACCTCATTACACCTTGTAATTCATCGGTGCAGAAATTGATCGATGACTTCAGTAATCCGACAAGAACAACTTACAAAGTCGCCCATGTATACTTCACAGAAGGTATTTCCTACATTTAAACTTATATTCTCTAAGGATATCCTCTTCCAAAAATGAATCCAAATTATCCAATATATTTTTTTTTTCGAAAGACTGCGCAATTTCGTAGATTGTCTGTAAAAATAGAAAAATAGAAAAATAGAAAAAGCAAAAAGTAGAATGAAAATTAACTACTTCTCAGAAGTTTCGAAAAAAAATTCTTTTTAAATGAATTAGTATAGAATTATCTCGATCGTTTTTTTTTTATCAATTTTATAATTTATTCATATGGTATGTATAGATTATTTAAATATAATTCAGTACGAATTAATATTTACTCAAATTTAAATTTATTATAACATAGTTTTAGTTATAAGCTTTAGTTATTAATTTATTAAATCATTTTTAATACTTGACTCTTAATTTTTAATATATTGAATGATGATACATATAATTAGACATCTTAAATATTTTGCTCAAGTTATTCGAAATTCGTTTCGAAATTAAACCTATTTATATATCCTACTGATTCCTACAACAGGTCTCCATGCGAAGGTATCCGATCATCTAAATTTTCAACGATACGAGTTTAGTGATTCTCTCATAATATAAATTAATAAACTCACTGATGTTTTGAGAAGAACGATCGTACAAAATTATCGGTTCGATTTCTTTTTAATTTCTCGTGTTTTGACATACTCAGTATATCTCTTTGCAGCATGCCCTGACGAGTTGTTCAAAGAATTGTGTCACTCGCTGGTAGCTAAGCACATAAAGACACTAAAAGAGATCAACATCGCTTTCATACCATATGAAGAGCAGGTAAAGCAACGAACACTATGGCAAGAAAAAATGTTTGACCGTTTCATCCTTCATGGTGGTGGACATACACACACGTACAGAGACACATATACAAAACGCTATAAAATAATTATTCCTTCACGCGTTCTATGTTCACTTCTCGGTCTTTAATCACGTAAATTTAATATTATCGCACGGATCTGGATGTAAATCGGGACGATATTGATACAGCATTATCCTCTCATCCGATCTGTCCAGTCCATCCTCTGAGCCTTTTACATTATTCATAAACAAGCACATACTAATAATCAGAATGCATTCATGCTTGCAATTGATGCCAGTATGCCCGGAGGAGCTGTTCAATGAAATCTGCAAGTCTCTTGCTGCTAAAAAGATCAAAACCCTCAAAGAGATCAACATCGCATTCTTGCCGTACGAATCGCAGGTGACGATTAAGCAGACGAAAATAATAGACGCTAGTTGTAGCTCTAGAGCGCGAAATTTGTCTTCAATCTTCGAACATTCACAAGCTTAGAGATTTCTCTGCTTTTTCCGGATCGTCAGTTTACTTTTAGATTGCAAAAGATTAGGCGATATAGACTTCTTGTTGAGGAAAGTCTTCTTCACACCACTTTTCCTTTTGACTCAAAATATCTGCATGTTGTACGTACATGCTTGTAGTGTGATCACTAATCGAATTATCCGTATAGCCCGATTTTATTTTTTTTTAAGTTACTAATTGGCATGCTTATTTATTTTGCTTCAAGTACAAAACTTTGTAATTAAATTTATTTTTTTTTATCGTATTGAGAATATCGCAAAACTGAATCTGTTATTTTCTTAGGTCTTCTCACTGGACTCGCGTGAAACTTTCGCTTGCTTTTACAACCCCTCTTTCTTTAATCTGAGATCAGCCAATATGGAGCGTATTGCTGAACAAATTGCAACACTTTGCGCCACACTTGGAGAATATCCATCAGTTAGATATCGCAGGTAATTTCGATCTTAAATGTGATTTAATAACTTGTTGTTAATTGCAATTTCTCCTCTTGTTGATAAAGAATAATTACACAATTTTTGATAGCATTAAATAAATGCTATTAATATGTATCATAGTGACTTCGACCGCAATGTTGAACTCGCTCAATTGGTGCAACAGAAACTAGATGCGTATAAAGCCGATGAACCAACAATGGGAGAAGGACCTGAGAAAGCTCGTTCTCAATTATTGATTTTAGATAGAGGATTTGATTGCGTCTCACCTTTACTACATGAACTTACACTGCAAGCTATGGCATATGATTTGCTAGACATTGATAATGATGTCTACAGGTAAGTAAATATATTTAACGCAACTATTTTGCACAAATTTAAAATAAAACTTTAATGTCATATAATATTAAATAGATTTGAGGCAACAGCGGGTCAAGAAAAAGAAGTATTGTTAGATGAAAATGATGATTTATGGGTTGAACTCAGACATCAACATATTGCTGTAGTCTCTCAGTATGTATAAATATAAGTTTTAATCTTTCCTCAAAAGATTAATAATTATAAAGAATATTGTAACAATAAAACGTTATTTTTCAGGAACGTCACTAAAAATTTGAAAAAGTTTACAGAATCAAAAAGAATGCCGCAGGGCGATAAGCAAAGTATGCGAGACTTGTCGCAAATGATCAAAAAGATGCCGCAATATCAAAAAGAATTGAGCAAATATGCTACACATTTACAATTAGCTGAAGATTGCATGAAGCGTTATCAAGGAAATGTAGATAAACTTTGTAAAGTGGAGCAAGTGCGTAATATCATAATCACTATCCTATAATCCATTTAATAAGAGATATTTTTTAATTATAAATATTTTTAATCGTATTCTAGGACTTAGCCATGGGTACTGATGCAGAAGGCGAACGTATCAAAGATCATATGAGGAATATCACACCAATTTTACTTGATCAGACTGTAAATCATTTGGATAAATTACGCATTATAGCTTTATATGTCATCAGCAAAAACGGCATCACCGATGAAAATCTTAATCGTTTAGTTCACCATGCCCAAGTATCTGTTGATGATAAACAGACTATTGTCAATATGGCAAATCTCGGCATTAATGTTGTTGTAGATGTAAGTTAAAAGTTCCAAATCATATCTCATATTAAAAAATTTTATAGTAGCATTTTAAATAATGATTTAATTATATTTTTTACAATGTTGTTTTACAGAGCAATCGTAAAAAGTTATATACGGTACCACGCAAGGAAAGAATCACAGAGCAAACTTACCAAATGAGTCGTTGGACGCCAGTCATCAAGGACGTTATGGAGGATTCCATTGAGGATAAACTTGATTCTAAACATTTTCCGTTTCTTGCCGGCCGTGCAGCTAGTTCAGGATATCATGCACCAACCAGGTAATAATACTTTTACAGTAATGATATTTTTTCTTTATTCAAATCAATTTGTTTTTTATTAGATTTTTAAAAATATTAATAATTTGCAAACTTGTAGCGCACGATATGGACACTGGCACAAAGATAAAGGTCAACAGACCATCAAAAATGTTCCTCGTTTAATTGTTTTTATAGTTGGAGGTATGTGCTTCTCTGAAATACGATGTGCATATGAAGTTACAAACGCATTAAAAAATTGGGAAGTCATAATTGGTAAGAATTTTTTGTATCCAATGTCTATTTGAGATAAAAAATAATTTATAACCAAAGCGCGATTGAAAATTTATCTACTATAAAATATTTATTTTTATAGGTTCATCCCATATAATTACACCAAAATCATTCCTGAATGATTTGAGTAAATTACACGTCTAAATAGTTGATATTTAACAAAAAGAGATAATATTCCTGAATTCTTAATTTGCCATTAGCTTCAATTCCATCAGTAATACCATTTATGAAGCCATGAATGATCTCGAAGTATAAAATTAGGTTATTTAACTAAATAACGAACACAGTCAATTCTCTTTAAGCGAAAGCATTTCGGGCAGAAATTAAGCAAGTATCCCGTTGTCAGTTGAATAATAATGAAAGTATTCGTGTATTAATGAGAGCACGAAGAGTCTTGATCAGACCGAGTTATCAAGTGCCTGCGCGAATACATAATCAGAAATCGTATGAGACATTTTGGCAATATTGATATAAATCGCACGAAGCTGTATAATCGAGCCTTTCATTGGTATCGAATCTTTAAGTTATAGAAATATATTATTCTTTATCATTATTCTTTATCAGGAATAAAAAGGAATTTGTGAAGCTGTATTTTCACAGAAAAGGATCGTGATATTCCTGTACATTTCTTGTTATTTTTTTTCCTCATTAAAATTTACCATATTCAAATTGATATCTTATGTGTAAATTGTTTTTGTTCTCAAGTACTTTTATTTTTAAAAAATTCTATTATAATAGAGAGACATTAAATCTATAAATGTCATGACACATTTAACTTAATTCTCTTTAAATGTATTATCGATGTAACAATGGTATAAAGTTATTTATTCGACATTATTATTTCTTAAATCTCTAATTAATGGTATTGAATGTAAAATAAAATCGCTAAATATATACAGACACTCGCTAGATGTATACAGCCTGACACTTATTCTTCCTTTGTTAACTTATTTATCTATACTTTTATCGGTTTATGCACTCTTATGCACTCTTCAGTTTATCAATTGCCAATTCAGATGCTATATTTAATGTAATTTATAAATATATAATATTCATATATGAAAAAATGTTCAGCTCTCTCTTTGACAAATTCGATTAGTATTGCTTTTGTTGAATATAATACAGGTACAACAATTATAATATACCAGTATATATTGCAAGATTTATCGCAATCATTGTTCTACAGTTGTGATAAAGAAACGCTTTCCAATCTTGCAAGAAACTTGCAGTTGTCAATGAATAATACTGGTAATAATTATTAATGTAATGTCAATAAATGTTGCGATCTACTAGCGGAGAGATTATTACAAAGTTAAACGATATTTATAAAGTATATCCTGTTATAATATATGTATATGTATGTATGTAGATTATAGATTGAGCAATGTTCTACTTATAAAGGCCTATGATGCGCTCTATTCTTGAGTCTTTTTTTAATTATCACTATGCCACATCTATGCCACATCTATCAATCGAACACAAAATTATAAGAAAATATGATAATAAATATGATAGAAAAAAATCTGTTTAGATGATGTCTTATTTAGAAAAATCTTGATACATCGATAACATTACAGTTAATGAAGCCAAAGATTATCAAAGGCGATCGATATAATTCGCCAACATTAGCAAATATTATACACAGACTTGACATACATAATTATCCATATTGAATATAGACCAATATTTAGCGAATATGTGCAAAGTTCACATAAATATTAATCATTGTCTAGAGGCGCCTTAAAGGGGAACCCATTGTGATGGGTTCAAAAAATCGATTTTTTCTTTTTTGCATTACTTGAAGTCTTAAAAATATGTCCCTAAAATATTATATTGAAATTCGTAATAGAATTATAGCAAATATGTGATGAAGTAGCACACGTGGTTAGATGCAAACTAATCGGTTGTAAAATTTTAAACACGTTTTTCTCGAAACGTTTCTGTAATTGGACGCTCACATATCTCGGTCAATTTTTATCTGAATGACGAATTTTGGACAGAATGTTTATGACAAAATTGTCTTTTAGTTAAACGTACGAATTTTTCAATCGGATTATTAATTTTTGAAAATTAAACAATAAAACAATAAAATAACGAGTTTTTTTGCAAAATAGCAAAAAAACTTTTTTTTAAAACAGCACCATTTTGTCTAAAATTATTTTATCAAAAAATCAGTACGCTTAATTGAAACTACACTCATATACTATAAAATAAAAAAAAATATTTTATTTTAGAGCTCTCGTTCGAACGCCCGTGCATCCATGTTTTTCCAAATGAGATGCATCAATGAGCATTGAGGCTAGAAATATTAATATTATTTAATGAATTTTTTGTAATAACTTCGTAAATGTACGTACTTTGAATATATAAAGACAATAATTCATACAAGCTATTAGTTTTCACAAAGAAATTCACAAATCTTTTTTTTGACCGTCACAGTATTATTATATATATTCGTCCTTAATCCGAGGGTCAACAAAATTACTCCATTTAAAATGGAAACGCAACGAACTTTATTACTGAGTACCGTTATTATTATCAGTTGTTTTCTTCTCGTTAATTTAGTGTTTAAATTTCTGTCGAAAACAAGATTGTAAAAGATATTAGAGTTAAAAGGAAAAATAATTTTAACATATAACGGTATGATTTAGATACCTCTTGCATATTGTTGTGATTGAAAGAAAAGGGATTAAGTTATGGTAAGAATTTTTGTAATTACATAAATTCCTTTTTAGAACAAATCGATGTTAGAAGAATTTACTGATTATTTAGGCAAACATCGGGCAAAAGGAAGACTTCGATGCAATTAGAGACAAGGTGCTCAAAATTGGTTACCGCCAAGGTAAAATAATATTTGACAATACGAAATGAGATAAAAATACCAGAAACTATACAATAAATTTCATTATTTGTTAAATGTATTTATAATATAACAAAATGTTTTAATCTTTCATTGAAGAATTTACACGACAAATTCAATTAATTATTACAAGATAGTGATATTAAATAGATAGACGATATTAAAGAAGTGTTCACAACTTCTTATGTACGACCTGCCGAGGCTTGTGGTTAATTATTATATGAAGGATGATATCTTCTAGATATCTACTAGCACGACCATATATCAGACAAAGTTTAATAAAAGCCGTAAAGGCTGAGGATTCCAGTATCATCGCGCATTCCAGCTGGAAAATGGAATGATCAAGTTCGCTTTGAATTGAACTGCTATAATTTATATCCTAAAATTACGGTAAAATTACTTTAAATAGTTTAAATCGATTTCAAAGATTTTACAAACAATAAAAAACGAATGAAAAATATCTAGGGACTGAAAAATAAAAGTAATAGAAGTTTTATTTATAGATTTTTTATTCTTGTAGAAGTGTATTCTTGTTTTACGAGTATAAAAATATAATGTTAAAACATACATACATGTATAAAATACAGTGTTAAAACATAATCGTGTCAAATTTTAAACTAATTATACATAAAAAATTATCAAGATTTTAATTCCGTAGAGGAAAATCGAATTTTATAAGTTTTAAGGAAGTTCTAAGGAAAATCGGACTTGCTGGAAAGCATGACAAAATGGTATCCCAATCTTTGCAACGGCAAAGGAATTATGGAGCACTGATGCTAAACTACACATTAGTAACACGAGTATGTTCTCGTTATATGAAGCATTGAAAGAAACATTAAAAGAATATTAATCTTATAATTTTAATTTATTAGTTATGAATTAAGAATATTAGAGGATCCTGCCGTTCCAGCGCCGAAAAGATTCTACAAAATGATCATTGATCCGATCTATTCTATCTTGGAAGAAGAAATTGAAATTAGCTTTAAGAAAGGATACCTGATTAATGTAAAGAGTAATAAAAGATAGGAAAATATTCCTCTCGCAATAATTGAATATCTCAATGAGATCAGCGCGCATATGGTATTGGACGGATAAACATTGTGGAAAATCGACATATTAGACTAAAATTATATTATTTATGAAGCTATTTATGAAATTTTTTAATGATACTTTTTATAAAATTTTTATGAAATGCATAAAATTGACTGTAACAATATTTGCCCAATTTCAGTCTCGAGACATTTACAAGTCGCCAGGTGTTAACATTTTAGAAGTAGCATTGAGATTTGGAAGTATTTACTTTGAATCGGGAGAGTCAAATCCTATTTGACAGATAATATATAAAATTATAAAATACAAAAACATATATAACATAAAAACTGCAAGTCTCTAAACAAATTGGATTAAATTCTTAAAAAGTGTCTCGCAAAATTCTGAAATGCGATTTCGTATTGGAATGCATCCAACATTCGCAAAGGTACATAAACAGGCTGCACGTAAGGCTGTAGCTGTATAAGGGAAAGAGTACATTTGCGCGAGATTCTTAATTAGAACAAAATTTATCGAGCAATTATATTGTGAACATGACTATTTTTTTAGTCTATAACTGATAAACGAATATCGTTTTTTTCTTTCTTACAGCGATCGCCAGATCGAGGTTTCGTTATACAATCAAACTCTCGATGAATGTATACGGAAATTACCGATGAATGCCACTGATTTATTTGCACGCAACCTCTGAAACTAAAGGAGTTTTAATAAACAACACAATATCTGAATCAAGACTTTATTACGAATTTCATCAATAAGACGCACTGCAGTTAACTTCACGCTACTTTATTTGCCTTAACATCTACGCGTATTCTTCAGACATAATTCGACAATTAACTGAATGGTTTCTAAAAGGTTTGCAAGATATCGTAGCAAGAAAAGTAATCGTGTGACAAAATGTAATTAACTCTAGACAAAAACCATCTTTAGAAGTCCAATCGCTTTGCGGATCGCGCGCATGCAACAGTCATAGGAGGAAGGTGAGGTCTCACAATAAAACACTATCACTACATCGTTTTTGTTTCATTTTAGTTATTAATTAATTAAATCTTAAGATTACCTTAGCATATTCGTGAAGATTACAATATATCATATCTTTAGGGATATATTAATAGTATACACAGTGCGTGACCTTTTTTCTTCTGCATCTGCACTATTTCGGCATAGCAATTCAAAGAAAGAAACTACTGTCAAGTACGAAATCATGACAATGCTTTTTTCTGATATATCTATATCTCGGCTAGCGATTTTCTGTAGATTCCTTATACTCGCGTTTCATTCCGCTCTGTTTTACATATATGTATTATGTAACATGCAAAATTACACACTAGGGAATAAGGTTCCTCATGCATATACAATTAATAATCTATAATAATAACTCTTGTATTCACATTTGCACGTTAACGTTAGTTCAAATATCGAAACCTGTTATTTCGTTCTGATAATTAATAACGTACAGATAATATATATGTGTGTGCATATGTGTGGTGTGTGTGTGTGTGCATATGTGTGTGTGTGTGCATGTGTGCATATGTGCGTGCATATGTGTGCATATGTGCGTGCGCGCGCGCACGCGTGTATAGTGTAGATTGATGTTGTTAAATAAGTAGAGAAATTTATAATAGATACATATATGTATAAATCAAAATTGCAAATAATGTATATCATAAAAAAAAATTCAATAAAAAAAAATGTATTGTGCAATATTAATTACGTAACCTCTAAAGCGTTAATAAAAAAAAAGGAGAAAACTAAGGTTGTCAAAAAACTTGATACATCTCAAATTTTTTATATTTTACTAACATAGATTATGTTACAAGATTGGAAAAATTGAAACTCACTGTAGTATTTGACGAATCAGTTTTTAATTCGATTTATTTATAAAAAATTATATTTAACATAAATACGAAAGTAATTTTACGAGCTAGCGCCATCGATACAACGAAAAAAGGAAATATAGATACATGAACGCAATTAACGCTCAATTAACAATTGCTCTTTCTCTCACTCATTCTCTCTATCTCTCTTTCTCTCTCTCTCTCTCTCTCTCTCACACACACACACACACACACACACACACACACACACACACACACACACCTCTCTCTCTTTTTCTCTCCTTCCCTCCTTATTTAACAACATCAAGTAACTCTTTTACTTCAGCCATTTATTTTTCATTTCGTTATTATTTATGTACAACCAGTTTAAATGTTCGCTATCGTTAATCGTAGTAGTAAGTTTGCTAAAATTTGTGTTCTATTGGAGATGATGTGCGTTCGTGGGAACTTATATAAAAAATTACTTTTTGATACAGAGCTGAGTGATTTTGGTGTTACTTAGAAATATGGGTGGTGTATGTTTATATCCTAACTTATGCTGAGATCCTAATTGATTATATAATCTATATGTCGGCTTTCTTATAAATCTTATCACATACATAGACGTTTGTATTATTAGTACTTAATATTTTATACATAGATATTCTGTATTCCGAATGCTGCCAATTTCACCTTGTATGTACAATTACAAGCTACATATTATACAATCTTAATATCTATTACGTGCACTCCTCTTTCACACTTTCATTCTCCCTCCTAATTATCCCTTTCTTTCTATCATGCACTTATATCTTTTTTTTGTTTCTGTTTTAGTTATCACACATTGTCACGCAACAATATGCTCATTTGTGCTGACCGCACACATGAGAAATATGTAATAACAAAAAAGAAACAAAAATAACATTCATTTTTTTATAGGACATTATATCGAAATAATAGTAAACTGGTAATACAAACTATCAACAGAAACATTTTGCAACTTTATCGTTAAATTGAATGCATTCGTATTGTTAACATTTACTCAATAAGAAAATTATGAGTATAATTTTTAAAGATTTTTCAATAGCTTCTGCCAATAATTTATATTATTATTTTACTATCCTAAACATTATATCGTGAAAGTTATAATGTCCAAATTAAATCGTTAATAATTCCGTTCGAATGGAAAATCTTTTTACATATATATAGACAACCGAAGTTTATGAAATGAAACAAAACGTAAATTTATTTGAATTTAAATCATTTCTTTGTAAAAATTTCTTTTTTAGTTTTTTTGCAAATTAAGCATGATACTAAATACCTTGCATGATATTAAATACCTTGCATATCATATGAAAAAAAAACACATATTTATCAATTTTTTATACATCGCTAAATTGTTAATCTCGCACCGAACTACCTTATTAAGTGTATACATCAACAATAACATACTGATGACTAAATCATTGTACATACTAAATCGCGCGAATATTACTATCGCAGCGTGTAGATAGTATATTTTAAGAATTAGATCATAGATCCTTCTTAATTTTGATTAGATAAAAACTGCAAACAGGCGTTCGTATTACGCCCGAAGACACATCAAAACAAAAAATTACAGAAATATTCTAATATTGCTAGATGTTGATGATCAATGATCAATGAGAGCAAAATCGTTATTGATATGAAACAAACAACACCCAATAATAAATAGCATGTATCTGCCCAAAGATCGTTTTTATTTTTCTGACGAGCTCCTCTTTATCTCCAATATATAAATGAAAATAGGATTGTGAATGGTGGCATGAACATTCGAAATTGGCATTTCCATCAATAGTATAATATTCTAGTATTCTTTTCAATTCTTCATCATATTATTTCAATCTTTCACTTGATCTGTAATAGAGAGCTCGAGGAAATGACGTTTATCAAAGAAAAAATTCTGAATTTATCAAAAAAGATCTTTTCCTACCTCACTTTATTCTTCTCCGTTCAATTAAATCCCGGCCATTAAATCATCATATTTTTTTTTAATAGTATAAAAATCATGATTTTGCTTAAAACCTCGAAGTTTTTAATTAATTGTGCCAACATAACGATTGCTCATTGCCGATAAGTATCGCCATATATACAACAAAGACTATACAAGTTTATGGTTCCTAAAAAAATAAAATTGTAGTTACACAAATAATTTATATATAATAATAGTACTATTTTTATTTTATACTTGGTATATTATTAATGCCGTTACGGTCGTAACGTGTAATCTAAATACTTTTAAGAAATTAATTAATGATAATAATAATAACCATACACAATGAAAATTTGTTTTAATCACTTTTTTGTACTTTTCTGGCGAATTAAATTTAAAAAAATTTTTTAGTTAGAATTTATTTTCGATTTGCATACCATGTTCGGGCAGCTCCATTAACTGGACCATACCCAAAATGTTCAACAAACATATTTCGTCTACTCGTTCATGATATGTCGAGTAGATTTTAAAACAAAATTACATGAAAAAATTTATCCGAAATTTCCCAAAAAAATTTTTATATTTTAATAATTTTTCTATATCATGAAATACCATATCCTAGTAATCGAATAAATATAATTCTTTTCTAACATGTTCTTCCCTAATACGTACAACATCACGATTTTCTTTCCCATGAGCCTAAAGTATACCGAGACTTAGGTACATAATCTGATCTAATAGTTGGTAGGATCAAAACTACTTCAATTCTAGAATCATCTTATCGTTACTCGTAATAATTGACGACATTGTTCTAAAGTGAGTTAATGAATAACTTTGAATCGACCAGCTGGCTCGTAATAATTCTTGAATCAATCGTTAGTATACACTGTTAATATTCTGATCGATCAGTTGATCAATTGAAGTCACAAGTGGACAGCCGTGATGATCATTATTAAATTCACCAAGTTCTTAGAGATGTTCGTATTATTTTACATATTTCTATCATTTACATATACGCCTAGCTATATATATTTCTGTGTTTACAGAGCGTATATGAATAATCAAGAAAGAAATTTGCAAGGGCATCATTAATGATAGTTAATAATTACATGTATTATTGGCAGAAACGCTTGTATACGTAATCCTACCAACGATTAATGACTCAATGTGGAAAAATACAAAACTTAACTAAATGTACACGATTTTTTTACTTTTCTTCAAGCCGACATTCGTATCTACGCACGCATTCGGTTATCACATGCAAACGTCTCTTATTTTCATATGTTGTTTTCAAATTTACATAAAGTACAAACTTATGAAAACCGGAAAAATGTAACACAATATCAGTGTAGCATTTTCGAAGTATCATATAAGTATTTATCTAATTACATAGTCGCACTTAAGTGTCTGTCGTTCTAGAGACAATACAGTTTGTCCCAGTTTTTTAATAAAAACTGTTTGAATCTTCTGATCAAATGGGCTCTATTGAAATGTTCCA